AGATATTGCACCAAAAACCAGACATTTGCAGCTAGAATAGTCATTTACCACATTAGCAATCTATAGAGTGAATATCTTTAAAGTTATGACTAGTTAAAAATTATCTTTATTGAAAAGTACAGTGCTTTTCCTTCAAAAATAAGGACATTTCAATGTGACCCCAAACTTTTGAACGGTACTGTATATACAGTATATATATATATATATATATATAGACTTTCAAGTAGAAATACTGCTAAAAATACATTTTTTGGTTAAAAAAATTCTCAAGTAAATGTAACTGAATTAAAAGTTAATGGAACCAGCTCTGCTTACAGGTCTCATCCCAGATATTTCTCTCTATGACTGTTGATTTGCTTTAGGTATGTTTGTTTTTAGACCTCACCTCCATTTTTTCTTCCACCATCTTTAATGGTTTGTGGCACAATAAGCTTTTGTGGTCAGGAAACATACAAAATGATTTAAATGGCAGCAAAAAGAGCTTTAGTAAGACTTCAGACATTTTGCTCCAGACCAATTTAAAAGGCTTCCCAAAAGACAGGCTCATCTAACCAGAAACGGATCAGGAAGGGTCTAAAATGTTTGCATATTTATTCAGGTTTATTTGATATCAGATTTTTTCCCCCCATAGATTTGTGGTTTGTTTTTGTTTGAAGCATTAAGATTAGCATAGTATCAGTTGTCAGGGAGTTACAGCCTTGCACACAATGACTAATGTTAAAATGCAAAGGACACTTACAATGAAGCAGAATAACAGTGGTTCCTGTCAAGCGACAGTTAAAGGGAAATTTCTGGTAATCATTTATTTCTGTAGTTACAAATCTGTATTCCTCACAGTGAGTCACTGTGAATTACATGACAGATATATACTCCCAAGAGCATGTAAACTAGATTCCAATAACTTTGGAAACAGCTTGGCTGTCAGCATTCATCTCCCCTCAGAGAATAGAACAAAAACTTTTTGCTGTTATGCATAAAGTATGGAAGCAAATGCTTCCCTGTGGTTTCTTATCTTGATTCATGGGAAAGGAAAGGGAAATATCTCCTGGTTTTTAGCCACCATACATCAAACACAGCCGCAGTTTACTCCCTGTAACCAGCAAGACTGTAGAGAACAACTCGCAGACCAAACAGGGAATGTCTGCCTCTTGCTCTCACATTCCTCGTGCTTTTAGAGTACAGAGGTGATGAAGCATGTGTTCATTGTTTAGTTAGTAATTTTTTTTACATAACTGGAAGCTTATTTGTAGGATTCAGCAATGCAGTAATGCAGTTTGATACATACGTTGTTTACAATCAGCACTAAGACAGTCAGAATTTTTGAGCTAAATTGGAGTAAAGATCAAAATCTCTAACAAAAATGTAACCTTTAAATAGTATAGCTTTAAATATGTTTTCTGTAAAATTCAATACATACATGGCAGTAATTGCAGTTTCACTCAGACTTTCTCGTTTGGTCTGATATCTCAACTTTAATTGGTTGTTCTTACATTAAAGACATTTTTAAAGGAATCTTCGATTATTTGAGATTTGATATCCATAAAGTTTCAAAGCAATGTTTTTTATATAATCATGACTTTAAAGCATTGGGATTTATATGCTGTGTGAGGAATCAATGAAGGCTCAACAAGCCACTTAGATTGCTTAGAGTTCTTTTTTTTATAATTAATTGGAGTGTCAGTGATTTTATTGAGTTACTGTGAGAAATCAGCAAACTTTCACTATTATAAAAGCTGTGCATTGACTACTCGACTTATTATCTTCAGTGTTGTCCTGTGAAAATATATAAAATATTAATAAAAATATCAGGGTGTACTCCTTTTGTTAGATATTCAAAGTTCCAAACATTATAACAGCAGAGACAAGAACACTTCATAACATTTTTCAAAATGTAACTTGGTATAAACAAAGGCTTTATTTTAGTTTTAGTTTTACGATCATGTAAGGGTTGGAAAGTAAATCTGTTTACATGAAAGGCAGTAGTTATGCACCAGATTAAGGCCATTTTAATTTTGTCCTTTACAAATGATCTAAACATTTTGTAGATATTTCACTTTTATGGATCACACGCCCCTGCCCTTGTTTTTCTCTGCTCATTTTTACTGGTGCATCCAATGCAGCGTTGAAAAGGTGTTACGAAACAGGCCACGGTTGCAGTTGCTGTGTCTCCCCCGGTTTAACCCCCATGCTTTCAAATTCTATCGTAGAAAACCAGACGGGCAGCTGCTTCAGACACGGCTCAGTGGTTATCAATGGAAATTTAATTTCTGTGACAGCTCAGACGTTCTGAAGGACGCTGCTTAAGATTAGCTTCTGCATGAACAGTGTGCAAGAAAAAAAAATCCTTATTAGTTGTTCAGCATTACAACTGCAATTCTGGCGTTTTTAGGAACATTTGAACTGAAATAAAGATACCTTTCACAGAGAAATAACACTATTTAAAGAGTCTCTGTGGAGCTATAATAAATCTCTGAGCAATGACAAAATATCATCGCTTTGGTTATTAATTTTGTTCAGATTGGGTTTGGTAATACACAGCCATGTTGTACAGCATCTTTCAAACAGCAAGGTCAAAGCAAGGTGCGTCACCATGTAGTACAGGAGGGCGCTTTATAACGACAAAAACAGAAAAAACAACATAAAACAATGGGAAAACAGGGCATTAGTTATTGTAGATAAAATGTAAATGTACCTTCCCCCAAAGATCCCTACCTCTGATTTCATCCCTGCTCTTACTTAATTTATTCTTCTTTCTTTGTTTTAATTATTCAGCGTTTCTGAGAGAGAAACTGTGTTTTAATGCATCTATTTATTCTCCCAATAAGGCGAAGCAACACATTTTGAGACGGCTGAGGCAGACTTAACAACACAATAAAACATAGGTTCTAAAATCCTGATAAAAAGGAGATTATATTACCGGTACATAAAGGAAAGAAGAAATAAACAAATCGGAGAAAAACACACTATAGTACAAAGTAACTTTATTTTTAGAGGTCCATTCATATACAGAGAAAATAACAGTGCTTTAGGAAAACAAATAAATATACAGCACACATTAAAAACACCCAATAAAAAAAACACAAAATACATTTTCAGATATATGCTGTGACACATACTTTTTTAATTACAATTGTTCATATTATAATTCAAACACATAACTGATACAAAAGGCAATAAAGATGTACTTTTTATTAACCTAAAGAGAAGGGCATAGAGCAGTTTTCCCTCCATTATCAAGTAACATTAAAACGCCCCCTGTAATACGGCAGCTGCTAAACAAGTACGTTTAATTGACTTATTAAAATAGATTTTAACTCAAGATGCAGGATAAGAAGATTCTTTACAACAGGCATCCCCAAAGTCGGTCCTCGAGGGCCGCTATCCTGCAGGTTTTAGAGGT